TAATTATAGCAAAAATGTAAGGGTTAATTTATAACTTTTAGATGAAAATCTTAATAGAATACTTCTCACATTTTTTGCATATTTTTGAGTCCTACTGTAACACTGTGCGTTGTCGGCAGTCGTCTTCTCTTCCATTAGCTGCACATAAATTCTAATTAGCTTTTCTAGACTAAATTCCTGCAGTATTGTCGCATGTGCATATACATCAGTGTTGCCACAGACAAATTTTTTTTCCTACCAAAATCAACCGAAACCTACCAAAATTTTATTTAAGTTTTTAATATTTTTTTAATGACAAGGCATCGAGATTTATGCATAAAAATCGTTAAGTCGCTATTAAAACAGCAGATTTGTAAAATAATAGCTAGAGAAGATATCGCCTAACAAGGCAATGCCTTCAAAGAATAAACTGTTTTTTCGCTCTCCTGTAAAATTTGAGTGCCGTAAGATAGGCGGTTTTGCCATTGGGCGATGGGCGGTTTTGCAAAAACATCGACTATATTATTATTATTACGTCTGGGATACACGCGCTGCGACCTTAGAAGATCTATTGTTATTAACCCTAATTGTAATCATTCCAACCTTATTCTCTTTCAGAAGTTAGGCACTTTGGAGGGTGCCATGTTTAAATAAAATTTTGGATGAAGACAATCCTTCCCCAAAGTGTATCAGTCTGGTATTTATGATACGTGGGCAGTCACGTAGAATATGCTCTTGAGTTTCCTCCACGAGCTCACTAAAGGCTAGGGACCATGCAAGTGCATTTGGGCTCCACGCTTTGCGAGACAGTCAGCTTTCGTTGCCTTCAAACCCTTCATGTCCCGGAACCCCACACAGCGTTACGTTATAGTTGGCTTCCAAGTGGTTCAAAAGAGTTTTACAGCTGTCCACAAGCCTGATGCTTGATTTAAAAAGAGTCTAAAGCGTTTAACCTGCCTGAATATCCGACATAATATTTAATTTGGCCCCATTTGTCCTTCTACACAGACCACATTGCGAAGACTTTCGCCTGGAATATAGTTGGGTATGCGTAAATAAGTAGACTTTCTGGAATTTTGGTCCAAATACGCCTGCCCCAGTACTCTCTTCATTCATCTTTGATCCGTCGGTATACCATACCTGGGACCTTTCGTCAATCGTATTGAAAGATCAATAGGTTAGTTTTGGTGATATTCCTCAAGTCTTACAATAAAGTCTCTGTCAGGTGGACAATGGGGGACTTCACCGATTAAATATTCGTGTAAACAAGGTTGCTAAAGTGTTTGAAGATACATATTTTATATTTTTTGCAAATAACTATTATTGTCGCGGAACCTACCAAAATCCAATCTATCCTACCAACCTACCAAGAGAAAAAAAACCTACCAGTTTTGGTAGGAAAAGCCCATGTTTGGCAACACTGATATACATACATGCATACAGTGCCGGACAAAACTATTGGCACAGGTATTGGTATTGTCCGGCACTGTATGTATGTTCATATGTAGCTCTGTTTGCAAACATTAGATATTTGTGCATATTCATAAGAGTATACATACATACATGTTTACATAAAGTACCCAGAAGTAATTTTGTCAAGGCCTTCCCTTGATATGGTATTACAGAACAGCTCCTAAGCAAATGCAAAGGACATCTAAACATCACTACGAACAGAATGCTTCCAGTGCTCCTTCTCGAGAAGTGAGTAGGCAACGTGTTAAGTAAATAAACTGACGTGAGCTACAAAAGTTCGAAAATAAATTTTGTTTAAACGATTGTGATAAATTTGATTCAAATAAAAATTTGAAAACACATTTACATGTTGTGGCTGTAGCTGAGTACGCAGAGATGTTTGCGTTTATTTTGTTACCTTTCAAGAAGGCCCGGGTTCGAATCTCGTTAGATCCAACATAGAATTTTTCATTTTTATGATTGGTTTTTCTTAATTACGAAAAGGCATCCGTGAACTGTTACGCATAAAAAATAAACCCTTCTATGAGCTGTTCTACCGAAAGCGGAAACGCTATGACATGACCCGATTGGGCCTGTTTCATATAAAAAATTATTAAGAAAATCGTGCAGATGTTAAGGCCAAAAATTAATGATAATAATTGTTTTGAATGCAGACTTTGTAACAAAATGCTAAAATATTCGAACAATACTACCAACATAATTTGAAAACTAGTTACTTCATTATT